AGGGATAATGGGTTAAAACTTAAACAGGGGAAGTTTAGATTGGATATAAGAAGGAAATTCTTTCCTGTTAGGGTAGTGAGGCACTGGAATGAGCTGCCCAAGGAGGTTGTGAATGCTCCATCCCTGGCAGTGTTCAAGGCCAGGTTGGACGAGGCCTTGGATGATATGGTTTAGAGCAAGGTGTCCCTGCCCTTGACAGGCGGGTTGGAACTTGATTATCTTAAGGTCCTTTACAACCCTAACTATTCTATGATTCTATGACTCTATGTTATATCAAGAAACAAAGTGTTAGTAACTTGCTTTTCATATTTAACATCATGAAAACATTATTTTTCATATCCATACATTATTTATTTCTACAGACCAGTTGAATAGATTAAAAAAAAAAAAAACAAAACCAACAAAACAACTGTATTTTTCATTTGTAAAAAGCAGAGAAAGTGATCTGAATGATATACTACCAGTAACAGGAAATGTAGGCCTCCATTCAGAGGTGACTTGTTTGCATCCAACCTAAATCAGCAGCGACCATTTATCATCCAACAGTTGGTCAGTAGCCTACGCGTGAGGATGGTACGGTAGCTCCTGTTGGAGAGGTGTGCAGGTGACACCAAGAACTAACTGCCACCCCTGCTGGCAGTCTCCGACAGCTTAAGGGAACAATAAGACCTACAGACAACAGTAGCCTGTGCCTGTGTCTAGACAGAAAGCAATTCCAGAACAGACAATGAAAAGATACTTCTCAAATGAGCAGTGTCCACCCTATGTATAACAACAGAACCCCAATTTAAGGTAAGATCAATGTATTATTTTTCATGAGAATTATGGTATGACATGAATGGTACCATGCAAAACTTTTTGAGACACTTCTTTTATTCATGCTAACAGCTTTATTTTTCTGCTCAAACTCCACAGATTTAAATATGGAATTAGACTGCATAATCAGTCATTTCATATAATCTACCAGTATGTCATCATTACAACATTCTTATTTTGTATTCTGCAAGCAAAAGGAATAATGAATTAAGAGAACATAGAACATATCCTCTTTCTATTTCTTAGTACTGGGAATGAACTTGCACTTACAATGCAGAACTGTAAAGTTACAGGAAATATTCTGCATTTTGGAATTCTAGATTCTTTTTCCTGGTAATGCCACCATTTAGTCAGCATAAACACTGGACCTCATATTGCTTTCTTCCTGTACACAATATTTAAAACCAGGTGAACTTTCCAAATACCATTCAGTTTTGGTGGTTTCTTTCAAACAAATATATTTGTTTGCCCTTAGATGTATTATCTTAACAGAACAGCAAACCTGTAAAACCCAGCAGGTCTAATGTTCCTATGCTTACAAAACAGTACAAAATAAGGAAAGCCAAAAGCTCATAATAGCTACAACTTTGCTAAAGCTGAATCATATGCTGTTTAAAAGGTTGTTATTTACATATAAAAAGCATCTCAGTATTTACAGCAAAGCTAACTGAATAAATGAACTAAAAAATAATACTGAATCAAAACTGTGTTATTTAGCACGCAGCTGTGATACCACAGAAAATGTCCTTAAATTGACCAAACTTTTTCTAACAAGGAAAAATGCAAATCCCAGTTATGAAGGAGAAAAAATTCAGTGTACCCTTACAACATAAAAACAGTAACTTAAAGAATTTGCAATAGGTACTTCTCAGTAGTCTACTAGTGTTCGTTAAAAAAGTGCAGAATGCATGCCTGGGATCCAAAAATGTCACAACTTCTCTAATTCTTAATTGCTATCAAAGGTGGTCACCCTCTACAAGGGTAGCCTTCTGAAGCTGTTTTTATATTTACTGGTGCTTCTGTTAAATAAGCTACCTGCTTGGTGGTCAAGGACCAAGGACTATAATAAACAGCTTGTTTCTACTCCTTCATTTTTGCCTTCTCCTATTGAGAACCTACCAAATCACACCATTTTTCTTCAGTTGGAGAATATTACATGGAATTTATCACTATAGCAACTAACCTAATGGATTTGATGCAGCTTTCTCTTTCACCATAGGATGGAGCCACTATCCCTAAATATAATCTGAACATTTAAGAATGAAAAAATTATCAGTTTATCATTTTACCATGTCAAAGAGAACATAATTATGCTTCAGAAATTAAAGTATAAATTAAAGTCTAATGGACTGTACACATACATTCAGAACACACTTTACAAATATGCTTGTCTGTCAAGCAGAACAAAACTATAGTGGTTTTACTGGTTGCTCCAGTCATAGGGATGATTATTGTACAACGAACTCTTTCCCAGAAACAAAAGATTCACAAAGTAAGTAGGGGAAGGGAAAGCAACATTCATATAACTGATTTAGGAATATGCTTTGTCAGACTAACAGATTAAAATGAAAATAAGCAAGGAAGATCAAAAGTTTAATTTATAGTGCTATTAAAAATATAAAAATTAAAAAGTTCAGGGGGCCTTAGTGTTTGATGTAAATGCAATAAAATGATACTGTGACAGATAATCGTATATAATGTTATTACTTTAACAAGGTATTAACCTTTATTGCTTTTTACATAAGTCACCTTGATAACAGAAATAAGTTGGTATACTTCCATACACCTGAATATAAGGTGTCTGGAAAAATACACACTTTATAACATTGAGTTCTTTCACTTCGTAAGAAATACAGCAAGGCTGTTATTCTTAAAACGTAACTAAGTTGTCACCCCTCCTCCTCCCCACCCCCCAGTTATGGTCTTTAAAAAAAAAAAAAAAAAAAAGAAAAGAAATAGAATGAGACATCAGATGAAAAAAGACTGAATAAAGCTGAGATGGTTTTTAAAAGAATTCGTAAAATTTTCAGTACTACTTTATGTAGAAACAGCTTCACATTTCCCTCTCACCCCCCTTGACTTTTTAAACATCTTCACCCTTTCCACAGAGCAAAAACATTTTTTGCAAATTTTCAAATACTACCGCTACAGAAAATGCTCATGGTGCTTCATTAGCATTTGGAATTGTGGTTGTCAAATCAGTGAAACATTACATAAACGGTGGAGTGCTTTGACACTGCATATTTTAAGCTGCATGCTGCTTTTCAGTGCTATATCGAATGAAAAGCGTACTACATGTTTGAGGAACACCATCTACACTAACTGAGGGAACTAACTGGAAACTGGCCATTTAAGCACAGCAGCAATTGCCTTCATATCATCAGCTAACATTTGCTTTGCATTCTTCAGCACCAGTAAACAATGAAAAATAAATAATATATATAACAATTCAAACGTACAACTTCACTCCTTAGAACAGAACACTGTCAAACCTCTCACTGCTGAATATAAATAATTTCAAGGCATCAGATTTTACAGTTAACTCCTTTTGAGGCTATACCAATGCCTACACAGAACTCCTACCTTCTCATGAAAAGCCTGGGGCCCTCCAGACGTTTGTAGCACAAACTTAAAATATTACCTATTACTAATGTCCATCTGAATTCCCTTTACCCTTGCACTATTCATCCTGTAATATGTTTACTAAGTCACTAATCTCGCTGTATGCACATAAATTCTTTTAAATCATAGTATGTTTTTAGCATAGTCTCTACATTAGCAGATTGAACACGGCATTATGTACAAAATGAAATTATAAAGTGTGACCTGTTTGATATGATTTTTGAGAAGCGTAACACAAATGTGCTAAATGTAAAAAATTATAAAACATATTATTCCTTTTGGAATAAGCCTCTCACTGTCATCAGTAGAGAGAGGCAATGTAACACGCGAAAAAAGTGAATTAAAGGTTATCGTTACCAATTACAGTCTTGTTTCAGAAAAAAAAATACAAAACAAATACGCAATAATGGAGACTATTATATAGTTGAAGGGGAAGAAGTGGAATAGAGGGGTAAGAAATGCAGCAGGGATGCTCCCGAAACCATAATCTGTTCCCTGTTCATCATAACCCACACCTATTACAGCTCAACAAGACAAGAATAATGTAAAGACTTTTATGCTACAGCTAAGGAAATGAAAACACACTATGGGTAAACTACAGACCACATTCAGCTCAGGTTGGGAAAACAGAGTGTATATTCATTCTGGCAAAGCTGTGTAGGCACCTCCTAATAATAGGCACCACAACAATTACATATTTTTATTACTGCACAGAAACTCCTTTTTCTATTCTCTTTGAAAGATTCCCACTCTGGTACTATAGACTAAATTGCATTTCCGCAAGTATGGGCATTGCATTTATATCACATACCTGCTTGAAAATTATTCCTGCCAAGAGGAAAAAAAAAAAAAAAAAAAAAAAAGATACAAACTAGCAAGAAAAAATAAAGATCTTTTAAAGTACTAGTAGTCCAGGCACTTGACTCTTACAGATACCTTATCTGCAACTCAGAGTGATTAACTGACAATCTATCAAGCCTAAAAGAGAATATACAAAACTCTGCTGATAACCTATGATGCAGCTCTGAGGCTGAGGATATGCTAAAGAAGTGCCAGGGTTTGTTCCAATGCAATCTCACAGTCAGAGAATCACATACTACCCCGGCGATGTTAAAACATCTGACTAAGTATGTGCTTCCTAAAGGAATGAACATAAGCAAAACAGCTCTTTTTCATGGAAGGTGGAGGGGAGTACACGAGTTATGTGGAGTAACAGTCCGGGTGAAAGCTGGCAATACCTGATAATAAACTGTGAGCAGTGGGTGATGGCTACTACCACTAAAAAGTCTGTTCCTAAAATTCAAGAGATGTTTCTGTTTAGACAGGAAATGCCACATCTGCAACTTAAGGACATCACATGCTCCCGAGAAGCAGCAAAACTGAAGTGTTGGTCTAGCTGCTTTACCACAGGGCAATAGGGGGAGATGCATCAATGTGGCAAGTCTAAGACACAGTACGTACACCTGCCAGCTTCAGAGTTTGGCCTTGACCAGAAGCGCTACCTTAGATGGGAAGGCCGTGGATTAAGCCCAGCAAAAGCACCAGGATAAATATGTACTTACTGCAGTAAGCGATCAGCAGACTAGCCAGGATCATGATCGCCCAGAAAGTTGAGGACATGCTTGGCAAAGCGTTGGCATCTTTCCTACCACTTCTCCTGGGAGATGGAGCCATTGAAGCCACTTCCCCAGTGGGGGTGGGGGTTGGAAATCAGTCAGTTTCACCAGCAAGCTCTCCCCTTGACTGATGGCCCTTTTCCACGTGTAATCCTCAAGGAAAGCATCTTCCAATGAACCCGCGGTCCGTCAGCAGCAACATGGTCCTTTTGCAGGAATCATCTTCCAGCCAGAAACCAAGGCAACTCTAGAGCCTGCAGGACTTGGGCACAGTGGCAGCCACCAGCTTTTCCTCCCGTCACTGTGGTGCGGTGGTGAGGTTTACTAGGGCTCGGAATCCTCGCGTGGTGCTGAGCTTCGATCAAGTCCCACGAGTCTTTTTCCCCCTTTCCTTTTTTCAAGGTGCAAAGTTGTTCCGCTGTTGTCCTGCCCCTGCCTCCTCCGCCCCGTCCAGAGGCAGGCTGGGCCCGGGCCGAGGCGACACTACCGCGGGGAGCCCAGCCCCTCCGGCCGCCCGCCCGCCGCTCTAAGGCGAGCCCCGCTCAGGCCGCCGCCGCCTCCCGGCCACGGGCAGCATGGCCGCTGGGGCAGGGGGCACGGAGGGTCGAGGGCACGGCGACGGCCACGGCCAACCGCCCGTGGGGCAGAACTCCTCCGGGCAGCTCCGTGGGGCGAGAGCAATCCGCGCCCGGCACCTGCAGAGGAGCTGGCAGCGGCTGTACCCGCCAACGGCTCTGAGGGCAGCTGAGACAGCGTAGACAGACAGCCCTGCCCGGCGGGCGGAGAGGAGCCCCGTCCCCCGCGGCGAGTCCAGCCTGTTCTCCCCTCCCGGTTGTCCTGCGGGCTCGACGGAGCCGATTCGGCGCGAAAGGCGGCCGGATCCGAGGCGGGCGGGACACTTTACAAGGCGGCTAGGCGCCGGCAGCAAATCGCCCCTCACAACGCGACACCAGCTCCGATCTTAGGCTCTGCCGCTATAGCGGCGCCGGTCCTTCAAGTAGAAAGAAGGAGGAGGAGGGGGCCGGCGGTCACGCCCACAGGTGAAGAGCGCACGGAGCAGTCCTTCCCCCGGCGCCGCACCGCCTGCGCGTCCCCGCCGAGCCACACTCCCGCACCCGTGCAAATATCACCGTGCTCCCTAGCTCGCCACTCCCGGTGTGACCCCGCTGCCGCCGGGTCGCTGGCAAGGGGTCGGGGGAGCCACGGGGTGGAGCCCGCGGTTGGAGCCGGTCGTGCGGCAGGCTGGGGCAGAGGGGCGAGGGGCGGGGCGGACCTGGCCTTTGGCTCTTCAAGGGAAGAGCCAGATCCAGCCCCTGGCGTCTCCCTACGGCCTTCAGAGGGGAGCCACCGGGCGGGGAAGGGACAGGAGAGGGAAGGAGGAGGGGGGATGTGGGGGGAAGCGGCGACAGCACCCGCCTGGAACCCCCTCTGGGGTGCTTTGTGGTTGAGACAGGGTCTCGGCCGAAAGAGAAGGGACCAATTCCCGCCCCTCACCTGCACTGTGCGGCTCGAAGTCTCCATGGTGTATTCTGCGTAGGCACGACCATAGGTGTGAATGGAAACATCCCTCCTGCATTCACCTGCGGTCCTTACAGGGACTGTTGGCACAGCCTCTCTGTCGCTGTAGTGGCAGGGACACATCGACATGAAACCCACTTTAGAGGGCTCCAGTCCATGTGTGTGACAGTAGCCTTTATGGTAATAATAAAAAATGGAAATGTTTTAAAATGAACCAGGTAGTTGAGCTTTTCTATTCAGAGTCTCCATAGCAATGTCCTCAAATTAATACTTTTAAGTTCTGCACAAGGTATTCACATTCCAAGTACAGGCAGGATTGGCAGACTAGAAGAGGAGCTTGGTCACAAAATGTTCCAGTTGTCTGCTCCTGTGTTCTGCTTGCATAATGAAAATACCATGAAAAAGTAGGTCCATATTCCTTCGCTAGCGCCAGGTTTCTCTGACAGTTTGCCACTTGAATATCTGGACTTAAAACTGTGTATGAATGATGAATTATTTACAAGACAGGACTGTAGGGACTTCTTTAGTGCAGCTGCACTTGACTAGATACTTGGAACTAAGTTCAGCTTTGCACCATAAGCGCATCATCAATGTAATCTATTTCAGATCTGATCTACTAGAGTACTTTGCACTGAACTGGTAGGGTAGTCAGCTGTTGCATTCAAGTATGCTTCACAGAGATGAATCTTTTGGGTACATCATCTTCCAAGATGTGACTTTCCCTTATTTTCAGTGGGAATTTCTTTCTGATTTCATTTAAAAACTAGAATAGAGCACAACTCTAGCATTAAGGCAACATGTTCAGCTTTATTCTTCTCCCCCACATCATTTAAAAGAGTATTTTATTATTTTATTTAGAGACTAAATCCTTGTAATACCTTCTATCCCTGACTTAGAGACTAGATTTTCTTTGTAAGTCAATATAAATTCCACAGTTCCTCTGCTATCGTGAAGTATTAGTTCAATTCAGTGTTGTAAAATACTACTGCATAATGAGGTGTTTGTTTTTTTTTTTTTAATAGGACTTCTAAATTTCCTATTCTCAGAACAAATGTAAATAAGTATTAAGGAACAAAAATGCCTCAACATGATGTGCTGCTGTTCATTGCAATTCCAGGACTAACGTGTAATTTAAGCAGGTTTTCCATATGTGTGAAAAGAAGTTTGACTTCCATTACAGCTGTGAGTATTGAATGTAGAGTTGAATAACATTTCAACTATTATTGAAAAGAAAAAGCACAAGTATATTGACAAGAGATATATAGCATGATGTATGGATTAAGAGACTTCAAAGCCACGAGGGATAGCTGCAACAGTGTAAAGGCTGCTACGCATTTCAGTATAGTACACAGAGTTCTATATAGTAAATCTTATAGCTTACCCATTAAGTTGTGGTTTTACAAGAGGATTTCCCTTGGAAATATATCCAGCTCTCAGTCTGAGGAGTGGGAGTTGTGATTACTGTTCACTTAAATAAAGCCTGAAGCTTGATGCAGAAACTAAATATTGCTTTGCTAGTTCTGAAAATTGGCATTGTTTGCTTGAGACCAGGTTAATTCTTGTGTCAGAGAACTACTCAGTTACTTGAAGCAAGCTACCGCTTACTGAGAATGAGGACCAGTGAGCTGGGGCTTTTGTGTTTCTGTCCACATCTACCTGTAATAGCTTTACAAGAGGAGCCTTGTGTGAAGAAAGATTTTCAAGCATTGCATTCTAATTTGATTGTCAAAGGCAGGATAAGACTTAAAACCACTCCTTAAAAATGTAATTTTACGTCACTGCTGATTTGTTCTGTAGGTGGATTGATCTCCAGTAAAGCTTTGGCTGTTGTGCACTATATTGAAATGTCGTGTATTGAAATGTGCCTCACCCTAGAGTAACACTACTCACAGACTAAAATCCTACTTGATGAAAAAGTGTCAGAATGTGGTCTTGGATGTTTGAAAGAATGCTTGCCTCTTTCTTGACATGTCCACTTCACATTGATTTTCAAGGAAAATTTCTCCATCTTCCAAGAAATTCCCAGTATTCAGACTTTTGTGTGTGCAGAAGTGAAACAGCAATGATTAAACTTATGGACAGATGTTTGAAAGCAGACAAGAAATTAAAAACCTGAGTTAAAGGCTGTATATCAAAATGAAATAAGCTTGTCAGAAATCAGATTTATTTCCATACAATCAAAAACACAGTTCTCTTATTCTTTCATCACTGTTGGAAGGGTTAATATCTTCAAGGAAATTAAAATAATACTTAAGCTGTTCATGAAGATAGGTTTTGCCATTGCTCGAACTGAAATTGCAAGCAGAATCTTTCTATTGAACCATCATTTGGAGTCTGTTGTGTGCTGCATCTATGTGTCGGACAGTTTGCCCATGATGTGTACACACACCACTGCTTTCTGCTAGAATGTCAGACCTTTCAGGCCTGTGCAGCAATGTTGACCTCTATCACAGGTGCAGCCTACAGAGAATAAATCCTGATGTTCAGTTAGCATCAAGCATGTACATGGTAGGAATAAGGTAACAATATTTAGATCTTTATAGGCCAACCTTCCCTTCTTTTTGAGTTTGCTATTTACTGTCAAAAAAGAAGGTTTAATTAAAAAGCATAAGATTCTATGACAGTACACTGATTCGGTGTACTTCTTAAAGAGTAACTAACCAATAATGTTCAACCAACAACTGAGTTTTGGCTTTAAATAAAGCAAAATGCTTCAGCTGATTCTAGGTATTGATTTTGGATGAAGAACAGAATAATCTCTGAATGGACATTACTGTTTGTTAATTTTGAGCTAAATATAAATAAAATAGGTGTAAAAGAATAGCATCACTAAAATTTATTTTTAACTGTTAAAACCAGGAATTGCATACAGGAGCTATGTAACATCAGCTTTTTTTTATCTCAGCAGAATTTTCAGAGGAAGAGCAGTGGAGCTTAATACTAAGAAACTAAGCTCTTCAAATTTATTTCACCATTTGCATTTTCAACAGAGTAGTGAAGAGACTCTGTATGTCTCCTTGTAGCAATCCATAGCATCTCTTTATCAAATGTAGCAAGTATCAGAAAAAATACAAGGGAATTCTTCCGTCTTCCTTCGGAACAAGAGACCAGTGGGGACCAGTCAGGTGGTACAGATTCATGGTTAAAGAAAAACAACAGTTTTAGTTAGAATTTATGAGAAGATTTGCTGTCTTTGTATTTACCAATCTTAGGCCATTTAAAAAAAAAAAAAAAAACACAAAAAAACTTTAAACTAGACAAATAGCTCATTTTTTTTTTTTATGTCTTGTTTGGTGCTCATAATATCAACCATCTATTTAATAGGGAAGGTTTTGTTACTGGTTCACATTAAGCAGAAAATTACTGTATTTGTGACAAAGAAAGAGGAAGGAAGAAGGAGAGACAGAGTGTGTGGTTGCATGCTGATTTCATTGTCAAGTTATAATTTAGAAAGCAAGTTCAGTCCTTTAATAACAGAAATCATATTCAAGTCTAAATGGCAGAGAATTGCATATATCTGCAACTAAGGGATAAGAAACTTAGTTCTCACCCCATATTTCAGTAACAGAGTTTACAGAGTACTTAAAAAATTCATAGGGTTTGAAACGTGTTCATGCAACAGTCTTTTTTCAAGGCCTGTAACACTAAGTCCTTAAGAACTGCCCACAATTCTTTTAGTGCACAATCAAAATATATTTAGTGGGAAGCTGTTGCTTTATTGCATTATACTATCTATGTGCCAGGTACTCTCACTGATGGATGCTTTTGTTGCTTATTACAAACCTATAGTTTTGATGCGTTACTCATACATAGACTGTGCCTTTTCACAGTTTTCAGTTTCTGTAACAATTTCAAGCTACCAGTTAGTAGTGATTTATTTTTTCTAGTCATTATTAATTTAGTTGAGCTTTTTCCTAATTTTAATTGCCTGTTAATGACATTATAGTTTGATATAGATGTAGTTTGAGCAGCTGTATGTGTTTTTGACTTAACATCAAAGCTTTCATAAGTTACAGGAAATCCTTGCCTTGTAAAACTAGACTTGTGAAGTTGCTCACTGACAGCTATGTTAACCTACCCAATTATTTGCCAAAAGAAACAAAAAAAAAGCAAGAGAGTGACAGTGGAAATACACTGCCAATACAAAACATTTTTATACCTGTCTGTATAACTGATGTGTTGTCACAACATCTACATTATCATTCTGACTGAATGGTATTTATAGACTTTACACTAAAACACAGAAAAAACATGAAGGAGAAACACTTACAGATGCATTTTAATTCCACTTTGTGTCAAAGGCAAGTCTGCAGCTTTTATAAAAAGGTGCTGACAATATAATATCCTATCAAAGTATTTCTGCCTTTTTTTTTCAAAGAGCTTCTTGCTACAGATGACCAAGAGATTAAATGAACTTTTGTAAGATTACTGCATTCTCACTTAGATCCTTAACATCATGAGATTAAAAACAAAAAGAAACATGTTACGGTTCATACACAAGAACCCCAAGTATTAGAACTAAGGTTGCGTTATAATAAGCTACAGCTCTTTATAGCATATATTAAAAAAATGGTTTTTTTTTAAGATGTGGGTG